CCAGACACTCTCACTCCCTCTCCTCAGCACAACAGGGGGAGAAAATATGATGGAAAAGTTCATGGGTCAAGATAAGAACAGGGAGATCACTGGTTAGTGTCATGGGCAAAGCAGACTTTACTTGGGGAAGTTAATTTATTTTATTGGCAATTAATAATACAGTAGGATAATGATAAATAAACAAAATTGAAAACACTTTTGCTCTCACTCCTTCTTCTTCACAGATTTACCTCATATTCCCCAGCCCCAGCAGTGCAGCAGGGTGAGGAATGGGTTCTGGGGGTCAGTTCATACCTCTGCACCTCCACCACTCCTTCTTCACACAGTTCCTCTGTTCCAGCAAGTTCCTTACCATGGGACAGAGCCTTTCACAAACTGCTCCAGCATGGGTCCTTCCCACAGGCTGCAGTTCTGCACGAGCTGCTTCAGCATGGGTCCTTTCCATGGGATGCAGTCCTTCAGGAATAGACTGCTCCAGTGTGATTTCTGCCAGAAAACATGTTCCTGCACATATCCCTCTCCAGGGTCACAGCTCCTGCCAGAAGTGTACTCCAGGATGGGATCCCCATGAGCTGCAGGTGGAAATCTGCTCCTCCATGGACTGCTGGGGCACAGCTTCCTCACCATGGTGTCACCACGAGCTATAGGGGAATCTTAGTTTTGGTACCTGGAGCACCTCCTGCCCTTCTTCTGCACTGATCTTGGTGTCTGCAGGGCTGTTCCTCTCACATTTTTCTCACTCCTCTTCCTCACAGGTGCTGCAGAGTGTATTAAATATTCAGAAAAGTTTCTTCATTAAGAAGCTGGTCAGGCATTGTAACAGACTGCCCAGGAAAATTGTGAAATCACCATTCCTGGATGTCTCCAAAAACATGTAAATCTATCACAGAGGAGCACAGTTCAGTTGTGACCACAATGGTGCTGGGTTAATGGTTGGACTTGATGATCTCAGAAGTTATTTCCAACCTTAGCAGTTCTATGATTCTGTTAGACAGATGTCAGCCAAGAACAAATAAAATGCTGCATATTATGCATTTGGATTTGGTAAGTGAGCTTAGATTCACAGAAGTCTAAGAACATAAGATGCTTCTCATCAAGAGTGATTGTCTTCCTGTTATGCACTGGGGGAAAAAATGGAGACCTGGAGTAAGTATGTCTCTATGGAGAAGTTCAGTGAAAAGCACTAAAAATTACAAACCAAGTCACTATTTGAAACCTCTTGTTGCACACATAAAAAAAGGCAACAAAAGAATGAAGAATAAAATTGTATTTGATGCCAAAAAGAGAAAGAAATAAAACTAGATAATAAATTACTTAGAGAACATAAAAATCAATAAACTGAGAAAACTAATGCATGGAAATATTGGGGAAGAAAAAGAGTAAAGTTGGTACTTGCTTAAATAGGCATCATTAAGAGCACAAGTACAAACTATGACAGGATAGAGAAGTGATAGGAAATGTAGAAAAAGTCCTACTTGGTTAATTCCTGAGCTCTTCACTGCCTCCAGCACATGACAGGTGTATACAGATTGTGGACAAAAAATTAAGGAGCTGACAAGTTATCATTAAGAGCAAAGACTTCACAAAGTCAGAAAGACCAGGCCACAAAGACATCACAGGTGTTACAGTTACTAGAGGAGAACCAAATAAAGCATTATTTTCTCATCTGATAGGAAAATTTGTGACAAATTGATGCCAGGAAGTTTAGACAAAACTTATAGCTGCAATTTCAAACTTAGGAAAACTGAGCTCTTCACTGAACTGGCAAATACCCTTTGGACATCTGCTCCATTTCCAAAGTCTGTAGGAAAATTGTTTACCTTCTTCATTTCAATCCTGGTGTTGAAATCTGTGTTTTTAAACAAATATTGTTCATCATCTGAAGTCACATTCCAATTTATGAGGCTCTAAGCATAATGCTTTGTCACCATTTTTTTCCATATTTAGTGAAGAGAAAGAGGCATCACAACACCTGCTATTTCCAGAAGACAAATTGTTCATAGATTAATCAGAAAGCAGACATCATCATTATTACAAAGAGTGTCCTATGAACAATGTGAGTGAAAATCCACACAATAAACAGGAGTATTTTCATCTATAATCACATCTGGTGCTAAAAAGCTCAAGTGACATTCAGTCAACTGTGCATTTGACTAAATAGTGAATCTGAAACAGCAGTGTCATGCTCCCAGTCTTTTTAAATTTTTTTTTTCTTGTGACAATGTGCAAATAGTTCACTCCAATTCCCATCACTTTTTAGTAGCTCTCTCACAATGATTATTCAACAAACAGTCAGCATTTTCCTACACATTTTGGCAGTCTAAAATACCTGCCTTGATTAAATTTTTTTTCAGTGCAAATAAAAGACTAGGCTCACCAAGAATGTACTCATAATTAACAAGGGGGGGGGGGGGGGGGGGGGGAGAATTTTGGGGGTCTCACCGGGTTTGGGGGAGGAATTGTGGGGGTCCCCCGTAAAATTTTGGGGGTCCTGGGTGGGGGGGCCCGGCCCGAAAAAGAGAGCTGGGGGGGAGGGGGGAACCATGATAAATATAAAAACATTTCAAGATGCTTATTTTTGAGACCAAATTGTTTTAAGATACCTAACACATTTTGTGTTGTTCTCTGGGTTACACCAAGCTGCCTATTCCATACAAAAGCAGCATGACAGAAAATATTTAAGTGATTATTTCTCATTCTCTAATACTCATCAGCTCAGCTCATCAGCCCAAAAAGCATGGCACACATTGCTCTGGTTATGGTAGGCAAAGAGGAAGTCACCAAAGCCCACACCCAGAGCTTCACATATGACAAAACCCTGCCCTTTACCAGTCATAGCCAACAGTGAAAGTACCTGTGAAAGCTTTATTAACATCCCGCCCTTTCTTACAACCACCCTCAATAGCCACATTATTCTCTTTGGTCTGATAATTTTTATTAATCATATACAACAAACCTAAGGGCCAATTTTATTCTAGGATAGCCTGTGTCATTGCCAGAGCACCTCATTTCAGTACTAAGCCTGCTCCAAATTTCTACCTTAATCGAAGAGCTGACACATTGCAGGTGACTGGGCCAATTCCACCAAATACAAATTAAAGGTGAAAATAAAGATATGAGTGTGAAAACCATATCCTTTCAGCCAGGACAAATTATCACAGCTTCAGAGAGCTTTCTCCCCATACACCATCATCTCACTGTCTACATTCTAATCTTTTCTGTCTCCATTAGATCTTACCCTTCAACATCACTTAGGGCAAAGGAATTAAGAAAAGGTCTTACATTACAGCCTAATGATCACAGCACACCTGCACTGTGATTCCCAGAAGCAGGCTGCTCCGCAGCCTAAATCTCTTAATTTTAACAGCCCTGTCATCCTTCAGTTTGGCTGCAATGATCCAGCTTCTGAAAAAGGCACAGATTGCTGCACTTGTCCAAAAAAACAATCCATGCTCACTTACCCCACTGAGAAACACCAGCCCAGGAATCCAGGTTTAGACCTGACTGGGCAGCTCCTTAAGAAACAAGAGATCTTTCCTGTATTTCAGAAGTCACAAATGATGCCTCAACTGCACCTTGGACAAGGCACTGATGCAGATTTCACTAGAGATGCAAAACACTTTTCCTGTCTAGAGTCATTTCAAACCTATTTGCTCTACTTCCAAGCTGTCACTTATTTCTCCCAGAGGTTTTACACATGAAAAGTGCCTCTCCCTCCCCACAGAAGGCATGATGATGATGCACACCAGAGTGAGAGTAACCCAGCACTGACATTCGACACCACAGGAAAGGCTTTGCTTGTCCACAAAGCCTGGAAACCAGCCTGGCCTCTGTAGACCCTTTTCCCTAAGGCAGAGTCACTCTTCATGCCTTTCTGAAAGGCTGGAGTGATGTCAGCAGACATCCAGGTCTATTTAGAAGTGATAAAATGCAATTAAAAGGCACAGGGAGATGGTCATGGCTAAGAATGCTTATGGAGCAGAGATAATCTTGCAGAAACAAGCAGGCAAAGGCTCTTCAAAACACACATTTCAGTTTAGTTACTGCTGCATTAGTATTTGGAAGTTCTGACAGACCTGACCAATAAAAACTAAAATTAACAACCAGTCTGTGGAGAGTTTTTTATCTTGGACATATGAAGATGAAAAGAAATAAATGGTGTGGTTAGGGTTGTCTTTGTTTCCTTTGTTTTAAACAAGCACACCACCTGCACTTTAGACAACTTAATACTTCTGTTCTCAATAAAACCATGATGTGATCTCAGCTTCTCAGGAACTGTTCAACAAACATTTACCCAAATAACCACAAAAATCCTTCAGGTGAATGTTTGCATATTTGCACATTTACATTAAAGAGTGACCAAAAATTTCCATTGCTGTTTCTTATTTCCGTATCCAGTATAATGTCAAATTTGTCTTATTTTCTACCAATTATCAATGCAAGCACATTAATTGAAAAAGAAACATGTTAAAAATTCAAAAATAAACAAAGATATCAAATACTAGATCATCATATGTCATGTGCAACCAGAAAACAAAATAACCAAAAAACCCTAAAACTGCCTTCTTTCTGCATTTCTGTTAGATGTATTGCTTAGACCTTCTGTACTTTTGACCTGTGTCATTTTCTGGTTTCCAACACAGAACTTTAAAGAGAATCCAGTTGTCAAAATGGAAAGAAAAGTGCTATATTTTCACCAGCAGTCTTTTACTCTGGTACAGAAATATGTTCATTATTGTTTTGAGGAAGGGTGGTACATACATCAGAGTCTTTTTCAAACAAAATTAAGGTATTTCCCTAATTCAATCTTTGAAAATTCCAACTTTCTCTAGAGCTGTATTGCTATCTAGAGAAAGACAAAAAAGCTTACTAAAAAGGGCCTTTCTGCCCCACATCATCAGGTCAGGAACAACCAAGGTTTTGGTCTTTTGGGTAAGGTCTGAGGCTTAAGAGTTGAAGTACCAGTTTGAGTAGCTGAGTATCATTAGCAGCTGAGCTGGCTAGTTGTGCCTACGCTCTCCTAAGAATACATAAATAGATCTTGGGTTGTAATTCGCATAGATGTTCTCCGGAGAGCCAGGAGGCTTGACTGCTTCTCTTCTCGCACGTGAAGGTGGGAACTCCCAGGCTCTGGTCTGCAAAAGGAAGAAAAACATGCACCATTGTATTACATTGTAGAAAATTGTAGAATTTTGTGGGATTGTCATTCCTATAGATCCCAAACTAAAAACAAAGAGCAGAAGAGACCTGGTAGGTAACATTACTGTTGAAAAAGAAATGTGATTTCTCTGAGCTCTCTGTGCAAAAGGGTAGAGCACAGAGGGTGAAACATGAACTGGCAGACAGATCAAGAACAGCCTTCACAAAGCCTCAACGGGACAGTCTTTGAAATTTTTTTCTTAATATTGTTTTTTTTCTTAATATTGTCTTTTCAAAATCAAATTTTGAAATGTTGGTCTCTACGGCAAAATAGATGGAAACAAACAATGCTAACTTCTCTGAAAACAAAGTACCAAAACAAAAACAAAACAGACAAGCCACAAACAATCTACTTTAGCACCTAAAATCACTGGAAGCCTTTGATCTCTGCAACTCCCCCTCTCATCAATGAAATTGTCCTGAATGGGGAAATGAATCATTCTAGCTTCAGAACACTCTGACCACTTTGCAACAAACAAGGCACACGAACCTTAATTAAATCATGAGCAGAAAACAAAATAGGAAATAATTGGTCTTTCCATGTGCATTAAGTGAGGCAGAAGCCCTGAGGAAAAGCAGCACATTTTCATATTTTTAAATATATATCACAACACACTGGAATTAGAGAGTGAGTAAAAGTTATGGTGGCAGATTTATCCCTGGTGTTTCCTGGCTTACAAGTATATGAACTGCTACATAAAATAAAAGTTTCATAGCTGTGTTTGTCTCCAATACAGCAAAACAAAGTGGGCCTTTTTTGCTCCTTGTAAAAGGCATGTCTGATTCCATCCAATCTTAAATCAGGCAGGCCTATGCCATTAAGAATACACATTCTTAAATAAAACATCTGAGTAAAGACTACTCTGAGAAGCAGAAATATGAAAATATTAAGTTTTGGGAGAGCTAAAATTCAGCATTGTAAATGTGACCTATAGACAGGAAATGCACCGCACCACTCTCTATCCAGTGCTTAAACAATTGCTCAGATACTCTGGTTATACATGAAGATAGGGCCATTCAAACAACAGACATTCTCATAGATGATGTGTTCCTCATTCCCCCCCTCCAAGTGCTCACAGAGGTATATGGGAGGTTTGTCAGAGTTGACACACTGCAAAGAAATCACAAGTTTTAGTGAAGAATACACGAAAACCTGCAAAGCACAGACACACACAAAGCCCACTTACTGTAAAATGTTCTGCTGGGGCCTGTGCTCGTTTAGGTAAGCAGCAAGCTGAAAGTAGGAAGTTAGAATGGTTTGATGGTGCAGGGTACACAACTCTTGTAGCTGGGGTTCTCCTCTAGCTGCCCCCAGCTCTTGAAAGACTTTCTTCAAAACAGTTCCCCTCATATCTTAAGTTCTTATTATTTTACATCCTGCTCCTTAACATGCTCTTGTTTTATTTTTCCCTTCATTGAAACTTCTGGTCATGCTGGGTACCCTGGTTTCTGCTGGGATAAGTTCATTTTCTTCTTAGTAGCTGTGTTTTGCATTTAGTGTGAGAAATTAAACAAATCAGCTGTCTAATATACCCAATGCACAATTATCTGAAAGATATCAAACTATGTACACTTGGCCTAATCTTACACTTGCTCAAGGGAAAACTTATCACTGCTCATGGAAAGAGATCATTTGTGTTTAGTCATTACTTTATAAACTGTCATTCTTAAGTATAGAATTTCATGCTAGTAAATGCAGGGCAAACAAAATCATTCTAAAAACTCAGAGCCTTTTAAACTAAAAACAGACAGAACACTTTTCATCTGCATGAATCTCTGACATGTCTGTAATGCACTAATACCACAATACTTATGGCTCTTTCAAAACTCCAGACTTATTTTAAATTGCTACCCCTTGTTTCATTATGACTTCTCCAAAAGGACAGTGCATATGAACATTTTCCTCCTTGCCTCCCACTCCCTCTCAGTCTCAGCAATAAAGTGCATATCCTTTTACCTGCACATAGTCAGCAATGGGATTGCAATGTATTTCAGATTCAAAGGACTCACCTCTGCGCCTGAAAATCAAGCATAAAGGCACACCAATGACAGCAACGACACCTGCAACTGCTCCTGTCAGGATGTAGAGAAGCCTATGGGAGGTTGTTCTGGTTTGAAGGACAGAGGAGTCTGAGCAATGAGAAAAAAGAGCAAGTTACAGAGCTAGATTCAGTATCCATGAATTTGTGACAGAACTGCCTACCTTGTCTGGAAGAAAAAGCTAATCCTCTGCTTTCAAACAAAGCAGAAAGATGAGAAGTCTGGATGCCAACCAGCAATAAGAAGCTGCCTCACATCCCAGTCATTTGTGTGTACATGCAAACACATTTTCATTTTCAACTCATCTGCCTCTACAGTCTCATTTTCTTCAAGTACTACTAGCCTCGAACAACTGAGCAGCCATCCCTGCAAAATGCTGTTATTGATGACTGGTTTATGCTGATTTCTGTTCTTCATGCCTTTACTAGTAGAGATATTTTGGTGATATGAGCTCTTTACCTGCTCTTACAAATCCTACTGCGATAGACTTCCAACAGGTCCAGCACAGCCACAGAAGCTGAATTTTAGCCTTTACTACCTTTGCAAGTCACAGGCAGATATGCTCCAAGGAAATTTTCTCCAGACCATCACTACTGTGGAAAAGCTGGACAAAATGTTGTGGGGAAGATGCTTTTCTATTCTTTCTTGTTTCTTGCTATCCTACTCTGATTTGAGTGGCAAGAAATTACTTTCTCTCAAGTCTCTTTTGCCTATGACAGTAATTGGTGAATGATCTCTCCCTGTCTTCACCTTGACCCACGAGCTGGCCATTGTGTTTTTCTCCCTGTCTTGTTGAAAAGGAGGGAGCAATAGAGCAGCTTGGAGGGCACTGGGAACCAGCCAAGGTGAACCCACTGAAAGCAGAATAAGCAATTCTTGTAAACAGAACAGGAACTGAAAGAAAAACAAGCCAAATTTTCTCTCTACAGTGCCACAAAGCATTTGGTTTCAAAATTATTAATTTATCTCTCAACATGCACTAGGACTTCACCTCATAACCACACTAACCTAGTTCCAGGGCCCTCGCGTTTAGTGGGAAGAGCTGCACAGAACAGCAGAGAGGAGCCCAAGACATAATGAAAAGCAATCACAAAATAACATTATTTACATTTCAGGTCAATGACCAGAGTCTGGTTCATGGCTGCATGGGTGACCTGGCAGGTGACAGAAGGAAATGAGCTGTTGGTCCAGCCAAAGTAGCTCACTCTGGTCACTGTTCCATTGGGGTGCTGGAATTCTTCCTCAGAGCTGTGATTGCTTGCAGGGATCCAGGAGATGTCAGCAGCTGGCTTTCCTGCAGATGCCTGGCAGGCAGCCACCCTGCTCTCATCACGGGTCAGAGTCACCATAGGAGGGACTGCAGAAGAAATTTTAAAAAGCCACAACCATTATTTCTATTCATATTTTATATTTCTATTTAGTATAAAATCACCAACTGAGAAACCGACAAACTGGTGATATTTTTTAGATTGTATAACAAATTAGTGAGATTTTAAAATAATTTGAAATATTAGCACCCCTTAAAGGAAAAAAAAAAAAAACATCAAAAAGTCCAAGGTGGACACCTCAAAAACTAGCTGGCTGCATCTAAAGTACTGCTTCCTCCTGTTTGCCAAAAGGTGATGACAGATTAACAGGAGATGGGATGACAGAGAGGGGTGGATTCAATAAATATTTTCAACTTGACTGATGAAAAGGCAGATTGCTGAAGATTCAGGTACAATATTTAGGAGTTTGGATATGTAGAATCAAAAATCTGATAGTAGGGAAATAAAAGAGGAATTGGGCAAAAGTCTTCTGCTTGAAGTCCAGCAACTCGTTCTGCATTTGGCAAAACGGGGAAAGGTTTGCACAACACCTAAACATTTATCAGAAAGGCACAATTCTGAAGGGAACAACAAAAAAAAATGAAAGCAAACTAATAAAAGAACCCAACCAAAAAAAAAAAAAAATCAAGTGACTAAAATTAGTAATCACAATCATAGAGTTAAAAATTAATTTCTTATCTTTTTCAGTTATATTGAGATGATTTAACTAATATAGCCAAAACACAAAATCTTCCTGTGTTTTTTTATTCACTATGCTTCCAAATATTCTTTTGTTCCTGCCTATGTTGCAAATAAACTAATTTAACTTTTATTTTAGTGTTGCAGTCTTACCTATTACAATCAGAGAAAAGAGAAAATGAAAATTCCCTTCACTGTTGGCAAATTCACAGGTGTAAATTCCCTCATCCCCAAGGTTCACAGGGTAAATACGAAGTGCAGGGTCAGTGACAGGTGAATATTTCCACGTGATCCTCTCACTGCAGTTCAGCCTTCTTGTCTCATTCTGATCCCTTCTATAGGACAAGCAGTAGCAACTTTTGCAATTCCTCTTCCATGTCACCAGCAGCAAAGGCACCTTGGAGATGTTGGGGCAACTCAGCACAACTTCATGGCCAGCCTCTACACTCACCCTTTTGTGAGCTGCATAAGATGAAATAAAAATACACTAAAAAGATGCTACAGTCATTGTAAAAGGACAGAAAACTTTTGGCTTCAGCACCTTTCAAAATAGACTTCCTGACTGTACTGGCAGCCTTGGGACATATTAGCATTAAACTTCCAGATCCACCTTCCTGAAGTTTGGAAGTGGAGTGGAGATGATGCCATTTTGCTGTGGACAGTGATGCTGCAAGTCCTCCACCTTTATTTTAGGTAACAAATTTCTATCACTTTTATGTAGGCTTTGAAAAATTGATGGGGCAGGCAAAATTCACTCTTAAGGGAAAGGAAGCTACTTTTAAAAATTTATTGCGTTCCTGAATTAGGTGCCTTGCTTCAAGTGCCAGTAAAACCCAGAATAGCTTTGGAACACACACCTGTGGCACGGTTAAAACCAGCATCACTTGGAGCAGAAGTTTAGTAAGAGATATATGTGGATCCCTTTTATTCCAGAAATCATAGCTCTCCTGCCCTTGTCCCAGCTGAACAGATGTGTCTTTAGATGACCAGTTTTGGATTCCTATCAGATTTATCATTCTGTAAGGCACGCAATTATTTTGCCTGCCAAGGTGACATTACTCTTTCCATTCCTACTAAACAATAGGCAAAATTTGCTCTGGTGTACTATGAAGTTTCAATGTCCTGGCAAGTTGGAAATGCAGAGTACCAAACAGTGCTACATGTAGTTTTGCATCTTTCTCACTTACCTTCAACCAGATTGATTAGCAAGAAAAGGAGCACAGCCAGAACTGCCCATTTCTGAGCCATCTTCAGCAGAAGGAATCAACCCTGCAGAAAATGAAGGCAAAGAAAATGGCATATAGTCACAAAGGGTTGTGCTCATCACTTCAAAGAGAACATGTAGTAAAACCCCTGTTTCCTTTGAAAGCAGTTCTAAACAAGACCCCATGTCAAGTGCCACTCTTGCAGTGAAGAAAGTAAAGCAAAAACAGGGTTAATTTTTTTTAAAAAAGAAAATAAAGACAAAACAAACAAACAAACACCCAAACAAGCTACTGTTTATAAAGAGTTTTTTAAATCCTGGATCTCTGGTACCACTCAGGATCTAGACTGCATCAACTATTTGGCAAAGAAATTATTCCTAGCCTTTGCATGCCTTTAATTTCTTGCAGAGTAGCTCCCCTTTTGGAGCAGAACAAAAAGAGCAGCCCTCCTATTGCAAGGGATCAAAACCATATGAATTTGTTTCTTCCTTTCATAGGCAGGGTGAACTAAAGAGGCATCTAGTAACTCCTGCTATTCTACAACTATCTAAACCTTTTAACAAACCACGTCGTATAAATGCTGCCATTTCTATCTCTTTAATATTTTACTTTCTGAATCAGGCACCCACAGCTAGAGATGATTGGAAAATCGTGCTCCCATCCCATGGGAAATACTGACACAATGTTTTCATTCCCAAGTCAAAATCCAAGATGCAAGCAGACAAGCAAACACCTCTGTGCAATGGCTGATTCAGAAATGTCATATTTGTAGTAACAGGACTTTCCTTGAGGCTTGTTTGGATCACACACTGTTCACACCCTTATTCAAACACAACCAAGTTTCCCAGCACGTGCTGGGAGGAGAGGGAAAGGCACCCAGAGACCTGAATCCTCATCTGGTACCAGCTGCCATTAAAGTAACAACCTTCAATTATGCAGCATTAAAGATTTCATTTTAAATACGAAACAATCCAAGAGAGGCTGTCAGGTATAGAGGAGAGAAGCCACAACACTGCCACAAGTGTGGCACAGGAAGAACAAATGCTGCCACAGGCACGAGAGGCAAGAGATGGTGTTTTCCTTAACACAGGGTGATACAAGTGCGTGTTCAAGTCACTGAATCACAGAATGGTTTGGGTTGGAAGGGACCTTAAGTATCTTCCAACTTCCAACCCACTGCCATGGGCCCTTCCACCAGACCAGGCTGCTCAGAGCCCCATCCAACCTGACCTGATCACTTCCAGGGATGAGGCATCCACAGCTTCTCTGGGTAACCTGTTCCAGCACCTCACCACTCTCAATAGAATTGCATTCCTCAAAGAATTGTTTTGCTCACAATTCTAACAAAGAATTGTGATGCATCTGGATGAAAAGCTTTCATTACCACCTGGTAAAAATGTCAATACAATCACTCCGATCTATATTCTGCTACTGATGTGTAACAAGCAAGGTAATTCTTACATTAAAAGCACCTCAAATTACATTGTCATTCACATAAAATCTTTGCCATAAAGGAAATATTTTGGTTTGTTTCATTTTATTCAGTGCTGTCAGAAATTTTGGGATTTTTTTCTTTGCAATTTGGATATATTATGCATGTAAAAGTTGCTTCCAATCAAAAAAGTCTGAAACTTTGAAAACTGATTTTTTTAAACCAAAAATAATTTAAAATATACATTTTGACCAGACTTATGTACTGAATGTACTGAACTTGACCCAATTTGCAAAGATTTTCTCAGTCCTTTCAAAAGGAAAGTAAAAGAAAAAACAACAAACCTTCCGCAATTTCTTTCAGCAAATTCAGTATTCACCGATTTTGATGGGTCCATAAATATTCATAACAGAATATTGTCATATTGGAACTTGTCCCAGAGAAGTATCTTTTTTTTTTTAATGCATACAAATCTCATATATGCCATTTATTTGCTCAAAAGAACAGGCATTAATAATTAAAAATGGGACCTTACAGAAAGAAGAGAGTATATGACTCTGTTTAAATATTCATGTGTGAAAGGCAGAATTTAATCTGCAATTTTTAAAATTCACAACCCTTGAACAGTTGTGCCTCTGAGCAAGAAGGAATTCTCAAAGTCCAAAACCGAACAACCAAGCAGAGATGAATCAAACCCATTTAAAAGTAGCAAACGAATATGGCTTGCCTTGTGTTATTGCCTTTGATGGAATTAAAATGCCTCAACGGCCGCATTAAAATAAATTAAATTCTTTTCCTCAGCCTCGGTGGCGGTGGCTGGCACAAGACCGTGCGATGCGTGTGCCGCTCTTCCCGCTCGGATCCATCCCAAGGAGAGCTGAGGCTGGGGAGATGCACTCACTTGACAGGCCAAGAGGAGCCTCCTCACCCTGGAGCCTGGCAGGGGAGCAGCAGCAGCTCCAGCGTGTTCCGATTCTCCTGCTGGGCTGAGCAGGGAGACTTCAGCACCCGCAGCCGCTCCCACGGGATCCCAGGCCTGAGGGCTGATTCCAGGGCAGCTCCTGCACACCAGGGAACTGCAGGGATGTACCTGGAGCTGCCCTCCCTCTCTGACCCCACCAGGGGCCCAGGTATAGCTGCAAACTATCTCAGTTGAGGAGATTCCATCCCTGCGTTCAGCTGTGTGCTTTCATTGGTTTCTTTTTGTTGTTGCTTCCGAGACCTTAACATAGCAGCTGATTTTTCTTAAAGACAGATAAAGCCTCCACCCCCCTCCCCCCTTGAAAGAGATGCCCTGAAGAGGATGTGGCAGAGTTAAATTGAGAGAAACAAACTGCTTTGTGACATGCGAACAAGTCACAGCCTTAGCTGTCTGTTGTTACACGCCAGCCACAAGCCTTGAGCTATGCAATGCACCAACTTAAAACCAGGCAAATGCATGCAATGTCCAACATGACTTAAATATTTGCTAACACAACCTGAAAAAGGAAAAGGTCAGGTATGCATCAGTGCATCAGTTGTCACCACAACTTTTTGAAGGATAACCAGTATGTCACAGAGCCATTCCCATGTTTAACTCAGCAAAATATGGTTCTGTTTTGAAGTGAAAGCACATTTTAAAGAGTACAAAAGACCCTGCCTTAGCAGGGTGTCTGTTCTGTGTAAGATGTGTCTTTAGGAAAGGAATGGTTGGGAGGGATGGCAAGAAGAGAAGCCATGGCACACATCTGTATCAACTCTCTTGCTTCCTCTTACAAGGATAAGGATTTGCTCTGCAAATCAAGGCTATATTATTTAAAATCCAAACCCACAATTTTGGCAGTCAGAGCAGCAGCAGTGTCTTCTAAGCAGTATTTGATGTTTCTACCTCATCACCAAGACTACACAGCACCCAACTCAAAAGCCTGCAGTTTTTCTGAAGTGAGAGATGTTGGCTATGCTGTATTTTCAACATGCCCAGGTCAGGCTCTTCTGCTCTCTTTCTCCCTACCAATGGTCCTCTGCTGGGAATTCCTCAAGTCCCTCCACTGAAAAAATAGCAACAAAATACAGCAAGACTTTGAATGCCCTCTGTGGAAGACAAAAGGGGCAGCAGGTAGATATTCCCAAAGCTGAAAATGGAAAGCTCTGGGGGGAGAGGAGAGGCTGTGTTCTTTCTCTCTTCTTAGGCATCTTCCTTAGTCATCTGTGGCTCGCCCCTGACAATGCTGCTGGGTAATGGACCTCTGCTTCGACTTTGGAGCCTCCTAGTATTTTTATTCTCTTAAAGATACCCTGGCCCTAAAAACTGATCTCTGAATTCCTCTACTAGCACAGCAGAAGACTTTTAGCTCTGTCAGGGACTGATGGATCAGAACCTCCATAGTGCATTTTCTCCTCAGACTCCCTGTTTGTCTCACAGCTGATGGCACCTGTTGAAGCTAGACATTATTTGAAATTTAGTCTATCCAGTTTGTAAGCTAGTTTAATTCAGTTCCAAACTACAAAGCTTTCTCTGCAAAATGGGAAATAGAGGGTGGATGGCTTTCTGAAAGAGAGAATTATCCTAATAGAATGAGCTCTCAAAACAATCACAAGCAAGTCATACAAAACAACTGTAAAATTACAGTGTTTAGGTAAATATATACCTAAAGGCAAATAGTTTTGAAATTTCCTCCACAGCAAGGCAGAGATTTGTGCCATCTATTGAATTCATCAAGATACCAGTATTTAGAGTAATACCAACATTACAAAGTGTGTATTTTTCCCCAGGGGAAAAAAGTTTGTCATATATAGTAGCTGTAATTCCAGAAAGCAGTTGGGCATCTCCCCTCTTCTCAGATATATTTACCTTTTTATCACTAGCTTGTCTGGAAAATAGTTTAGTGAAGTTATTGCACAAGCCAAGGCATATTCTTCACACCTGTAGCTGCCTTGCAGCCACTCCCTCAGGGAGTAATCCACTGTTGGGAAGGGGGAGTAGGAGCAAAGAATGAGAACACCACCCCTGGTAGCTCATTCTCTTCTTTCCAGAAAGGGAGAAGAAATTTGCTTTCCATTTTATGTGGAAAAAACCCAGTTCTTGTACCTAACACCTTGACTTTCTCAGGTATAAACCATCTGTGGCTCTCACCAATGTCAGCAAACAGATGGGGAAAAGCCCTACTGATAATGAAGCCTGTAAAACATGACACTTCCATGTTAAAATATCCAGAGGCAATTATATCACAATTTTCAGAGATCAAGGAAATGTATTTCTTTTTTAATCGTAGGTCATTAACCTCAGGAGCTTCTCGCACATCCCAATACTGCAGCAGACAAATCTACCTACCACACATATGTTAATGATCTTAACTGCTTTAACTCCTGCCCCTTGTGGGCCTACTGTTTTTGCTGCTGATTTCCCAGAAAAAAAAACTGGGAATTAGCAACCCACAAGTGTAATTACAGCTTTCAGGACTGTGGCTAACCAGAGGAAAAGTCTTCCATACAAGTATTCAGAGATGAGCAGAGAGGAGATGGTTTATAGCTTGATGTTTAACTTCTTTAGTAAGCATCAGGAAGTATCTCAGGCTCCCTAGATGAAGGTTTCCTCCCCATCTTTCAGTCAGAGGTACTGGCCTCCCACTCCA